TCTAAAAAATCCGTGGTTTGTCACTATGATGTGGTATTGGTGGTAGTCATCGGTGCTATCCATTCCATGATAGATAATACTTTAATGGTCTACTTATAGGACTCAGAAACGAACTTGAGAAGTTGAGACAGAGTCTAAAAAACTCTCTGCTTTGACACTATGGGACGCCTGGGTAGGGTAAATGCGGTATATTCCGACACATTAAGGACGCATCAAGAAATGAAAAACTATAAAAAAACCGTATGCGTTACGTAAGTTCTGTTGCCTTCACATGACTCTCAAAACACTTCACTACGCGTCATCAATGAACGCATGGAACTAAAACAAAGCTTAATATAAAGGAAAAGCTGGAGAGGTGACGCCGTGACGGAATTACCTACGATGTCAGAATATACCGCGTTTACCCTAACACATGCATGGACTGTGTAAATACATTTGCAGCTCATTAATGGCTTTTCATGGCTGTCATGAAATGGATGGCTGATCACATCTCCAAGAAATGGAATCACGGCTGTCAAATCCATAAAACCATGGCTCAAAAAATTCAATTGCGGCTTGCCAAGTAGCATAGTGACAAACCAGAAATTTTTTAGAATCAGGTCATTTTTAATTTCCTCATTTGCCAAGATTTAAACCAATTTCTTATGTAGGGTAAACGCGGTATATTCCGACACATTAAGGACGCATCAAGAAATGAAAAACTATAAAAAAAACGTATGCGTTACGTAAGTTCTGTTGCCTTCATGTGACTCTCAAAACACTTCACTACACGTCAGCAACGATGAAACGTCACAAAATGTTGCCATATTTATTAAAAAGCCTTTAAAATGGAAACCTACCAAATCCCTATATTCCGTCACTGTGTGTGGCAATATTCGACACGTTGTGAGTCGTATTGCGTCAGCGCTTCAAATTTAACTGATACGTAATGCCGACATCAACGTATTTGAATTCCGTTTGCTGTGTGAGCTGTATTGGGATACAACACGGCTTTGAATTAGAACACTAACGAATATTGAACACTACTTAATTATGTTTTAATTAACAGCTATTAGGGTTTTAATTAAGCAAATTTCAATTTTTGTACAAAGCTTGGAACGATCTGTGTGTGTCCCATTCAAGTTGTGTCCGAATTAGTTTTGATGGGTCTAAATCCATCACTCAACTTAATCATCTATTAATTTATTTACGACTTGAAATCAGCGAATACAAGCTTACTTAAAGGATTCCTAATATATTCACAGACGTATTTAAAAGTCTCAAACCATAATATTCTTCCTATAAAAACAGTTATTCATTCACTATTTGGTAGAGCCATGTCAACTGTCAAATTTGACACATTTTTCGATGATCTCACCACGTGGCATGCATTATCTCTCTTTGGATCTCAATATTTTCCCACTAGATGGCCAAGACCTAGTGTTTTTGCAGTATTTCGACACGCAAATGTATGACGTCACCATTTCAACCATCAATGATCGCATGGAACTAAAACAAAGCTTAATATAAAGGAAAAACTAGAGAAGTGATGAAATTACCTACGATGTCGGAATATACCGCGTTTACCCTATGATGATGCTTGATGCTGGTATCCAGGATAGGTACTTTACTGGTCTACTTATAGGACTCAAAAATGAACTTGAGGGAGAGTCTAAAAAACTCTCTGCTTTGCCACTATGCATGATACTTTACTGGTCTACTTATAGGACTCAAAAATGAACTTGAGGGAGAGTCTAAAAAACTCTCTGCTTTGCCACTATGCCAAGTAGATATATTCCATGCCTGGTTCAGGCTGGTTGCAGGCTTGCAGCCATGCCATGAGCCTGAGGCATGAGTATGACTTGTTGTTGCGGCATTGCCGCCACCATAGTGACAAACCAGAGATTTTTTAGAATTGGTTCATTTTTAAATTCCTCATTTACTCAAAATTTAAACCAGTTTCTTATGTATGATAATGCTGGTTTCAATGACACTTTACTGGTCTACTTAAAGGACTCAAAAATGAACTGGAGGGAGATTTTAAAAAAACTCTCTGCTTTGCCACTATGGCGTCCCGCCACTTGCCGCTGCTGAGGTACTGTCTCCCGCCAGGGACAAGGCAAACTGGTCACCTACTTTTGGAGTTTCTTTGTCAACAACCCAGTATGAATTGGAGAATGAAAGAGTAACTCTAATTAAAGTAAATATTTAAAATGGGATTTGACAGTACAAATCTTTTATTACAAAAGAAGGGCAGAAGACCCTGAGGTAAAATAGTTTAGGCTAACAATAAAGAATAAAGCAAGGGCCCAAGTACCCTCCACTTGCAAGGACTGGTGTAAAGACTGTGTGTAATGAGCCTATGAGGTACCATGAGCAAAAGGTAAGCCAGGTCTGTAAGATAAAAATGAATTCAGAAGATTTTAGTTAAAATATGGGTTACGGAGCATGGGCAAGCAAGGAGTTGCTGAACAATAACTGAAAGGAAAAATGAAAATGTTCATCAGCAAACAGCCCATTCAAGCCTATTACTGTAAGAAAGTTGTTAGGATAAAACAGTTGCTAGGATAAAACAGTTGCCAAGCAAGTGGATAGATGCAGTTCAAGTTGAAAAGTGCACTGCAAACTAACAACCAGGCCAAACATAAACCAATTCTTCCCTCAATCTATAACGAGTTGTGGGAAGCAAAAGAATAGACCAGATAAGAATAATATCACTCATGAACATAACTTCAAAATCATCAGGTCAACTAAATGTTAAATAATTGAATGCTAAATGAATGCAGAATAAAAGTCAATAATTGCAACCAAAACTGAGGTGACTATACTATGGAGCCGCAGGCCCGCAGCATTGAGCTGATTTCTAGAAAATCTGAGTAAAGCTAATTGGAAATACTAAGTAATTCAGATTAAGACATTTTAAGCAATTAAATAGTTACTGAGACAGGTTTCTAAGCGCATTAACCAAAGAATATTGCATACATCCTTACCAATACTCACCTTTCTGAGTGATGCAGGAAAACGTGTCAGTTCTGGCAGCATACTCCTTGGTGAAGTTAAATGGGAATTCATTTGATGAATTGATAATTATAGGTATGGAATTCACTTATATTGTCACCACTTAGTGCAGCTGAAACAAATGGAATAAAAAGACGAAAGTGAATGCATGTAAAAATAAATAGGTGACAACAATTACTATGCAATAAGAGGCAAGATGGTTAAGCGACAAGGGATCAGAAGCCTCACGGCAACATTGTACAAGCCATTGCTATGTGCTTGTGATAAATGTGATGAGTTATTCCTGTCAGGTTGCAATTTAAAAATCACATTATCCTATTTTCTGATTTTTTATGAGTACCATCAAACAGGGTATTAAGGGATGGTTTTGAGTGTTTTTTGTTAATAACTTCTTACCATGAAACATTTCACAAACAAGTTTAGGCTCATTTTATAGCTCGTTACGAGGGCTATGGAATGACATCCAGAGGCAAAATAAAACCCTTCCAAATCACCCCTGGGAGCGAGGTAATCCAGGAGACTTGAAATAAAACCTAATTTTAAAGTAGGTATTTTAAACATGCAGAGTGTACTCGCCTATTACAAGCAGTACTGTAAAATTGGGTAACTTTGACCACTTTTTTTTTCGAAATGATGTCATTTTTTTCTAGATAAGTTAAACTTAAATTGAAACGTGCAAAATACAGGTCTATACTCTAGCTTCAATTACCATAAATTGCTGACTCCTGCCTCTCATAGTTTTGATGTAATTTCAAAAAAGGTGATGGTCTTTGTTACCCCAGCTCTTGGGGTTTCTTTGACTGGGTGGCAAAATCAATTCTATTTTTTGGTGAAATAACTCCAGGTTTTGGTGCATTGTAGTAGAACTCTTCTAGTTACATATGCAAATGACTTATTTGAGGAAAGTGTCATAGTTTGCAAATTGGGGGCGCCACCCCCAAATGGGCGAAATGTGACCAATTTAATTTAATAATTTAATTTAATAATGGCAGCCGTGATGGGGTAACATTGATCGATTTGGAATTTAAGTTAAAATTACCATATATAAGACTCTGTAGAGTCTGAAACATAAAGAAAAAACATTAATAGGTGTATCAAACATAAAATATGTTATATAGGTACCTATGGTAATTTTAACTTAATTTCCAAGCCGGTCAATGTTACCCCGTCACTGCTGCCATTAGGAGGTCAAAGTTCCCCCATTGGGGGGTGGTGCCCCCCATTTGCAAACTATGACACTTACCTAAAATTTGTCATTTGCATATGTAACTAGAAGAGTTCTACTACAATGCATCAAAACCTGGAGTTATTTTGCCAAAAAATAAAAAAAATGGAGGGGTACTCTGACAGGCTTTGAATAATAGCTCTTTTTTGTGGGTCACATTTTTAATTTTTTAACCTATTAGATATGCAAACTTTTTAAATCTTTCTATTGTGTTACGTAGCCACAGTATTAGGCCTTTAATGGCCATTGACCAAATTTTTCTATGTCAAATAGTTTTTGAGTTTTAGGGGTTTTTGTTAAAAAAACAAAAATTGGTCAAAGTTACCCCGGGAGTCAAAGTAACCCCATTTTACGGTACTCAAAGTCCTCCTCTTTCTTTGTAGATGTAACATAATGACGAGGAGCTCAACAAGTTTCTTTCTTGAGTGACCATTGCACAGGGCGGAGTTCTGCCAAAAATCCAGGCTGTTCTGCTCCCCAAGAAGATTCTATTTAAATTTAAATTTTTGCTTTTTGTAAAACTACAGGTTTTGCTTGCAATTTTAGGAAAATTCTGTCCAAGGCCTTGTCTCTGTAGTAGTCTCTACCCTGCCTGACTATGGCCACTACCACTACTCAGTTGTAGTGCTATATTAGTTATAGTGCCTGTTACTGTGGTAGTGCTAAGGCACTACATTTACAGCAAATTTATCATATTAGGTATAATAACTCATAATTTATCTGATAAATCATGCACAAATGCTTGTTACATCTGAATTTATATTCTACCATAGATTCTACAATCCTCAGATTCTTCTTGTCACACCTAGGGGATACTCGTACTTTAAACTAAATAAGTTTTGTCAATTGCTGTTATGGTTTACCTTCACTTTCCAAGCAACCTCACAGAGGAGGAACAAATGCTGCAGACAAAATACCAGAAACTGTGTCGAAAGGTTGGTGCAACTGCAATTGTCATTGCTATATATGAGAAGTTTGGCGTCCACTTATTTGATGAAGGTCATAGAGTAAAAATTACTCATCTATTGAATAGCTATAGGCTAAATAATTATTTTAATTTGTGGAATCTACTAGGCGGCCAAAGTGCTCTTAGTCATTAGAAGTTGGTGGTGTGATGTTATGTATGGTGTGATGTCATGGTGTGATGTTATGTATGGTTGTTCAGTGAACAGTTGTGGAACAATAAACTTTTATACTAGCAAAACTTTGCAATAATGTTTTGATTAATTGCTATAATTTTACTATAATTTGCTTGAAACTGTGCTCGACTTTTTACAACACTTCTCTTCAACTTCACTTCTTGTTTGTCTGTCTGTCTGTCTGCTACAAATCTTAATGAACACACTTCTACTTATCCTATCGATCTGAAATTTTGCACACTTGCGTAAAGTTGGAGACAATGCATGAATCAAATGACAAAATAAATGATTTTAAAAATTAAATTTTTGTTTTCAATATTAAAAAAATTGAAAAAATAAAATACTTAAAAAAAACTTTTTAAAAAAACCACGTTTTTCTTGTGGACTAAAAAGTAGAAAATAAATTATGGCTCGCCCCAAAAAACGTGTGTCGGGCATATTTATGATTAAAGCGAAAAGCACATTCAATTAAGCTAATTTAGGTCTCTAATTGCTAGTTTTTATGATTGTATCTGAAATTGTTACGTGAAAATAGCCTGCATGCCGAATTTCAGATCTCTAGAGCAATCAGAAGTGGGCTAATTTTCGTTATCAATGTTAACAACAAACAAACAAACAAACAAACAAACAAACGCGAAGCTAAGCTAAGAAAAACGTGTTAACAATTTTGTCAGCTACAAATCTTATAACTGATATTTGATAAACTTTTACCTGTCCAATTGATCGGAAATTTTGCACACTTCTGTAAAGTCAGAGGCAATGCATGAATCAATTGACAGAATAAATAATTTTGAAAAAATTATATATTAAAAAATTTTGAAAAATCGATTTTTTTAATATTTGAAAATAAAATGAGAAATTCATTGTACATCTTTAACATTGGAGACACTGGGTTCTTTAGAAGTATTGTCTTTAAAAAGCAATTTTTAAAAGTATATTATATTATGTTTTACCTTCCCTACATGGATGTGAACTTTAATCTAACAATCTAAGAAATTATCCACATATACATATAAAAATCAGTCTTTTTTGTATATATATTCTAATTTAAACTATTTTGGGTAAATAGGTGCTGAATTTATTGTGCTTGTCTGTCACTGTATAATCGAAAATATAAAAGAATTTATTTTCAACTCCATCCTGTTCTTCACTCTCAATTTTGCTGTGGTAGAACATGCTCTACATTTTTGGCAGCACTGACTTGTAACAGAAGTTTTATGATTCTGGGTGATCTTGTATAAAATACTGTGATAAAACTCAAGCCAATTTTCCACCAATTATTGCCTTGAAACGACATAATTTATATTCTGTTTCCAGCAGCTGTTTAATAGATGAACAGCATAGAAGAGAGTTTAAAATAATATAACCTTAAAAAATTTTTTTTGAAAGGTACTAGCCTAAATTAGACCATCAGGAAATACTTTATGAACAAGTGCAAATATTTGGATGTTTATGGATTTTTTATACTGGTGGTTGTTCTGCAAGAATTGGGAGTTGATTTGTTTGAACCATATTGTTATTTATCACTCTTAACTGAATGTGTAGGTACCTATCAGATTCTTTGAGAACATTTTAGAAAGAAAAATGACAGAAAATGTTGTTTTTGTAGTTATTCATGTGTAGGAGCTGGAAAATGCATAGACCAGTCTGTAATTTATACTTAATTTTGCATGATGATTAAAAAAATTACTAGTGACAGGTTTGACTGAAACTGTGAGTGCAATTTTAAAATCCCATTATCCTGTTTGAAATACCGTATGTATTACGTAAGTTATTGAAAATATGTATTTCTCTTTTTCTGTTCTCAAAACTTCTCATTGTAATGTATAATTTGCTTAGATAAGATTTATTTTTCAGAGAAAAGCATTACAGCAGCTGCGGACTCCTAAGCCAGATGCTGAGCAGAGTCCCACCAACAAGCGGCCAATGGAGGCCAAAGATGCCAAGGAAATGGCCAAAAAGTTGATAAAGTCAGGGGCTATCAGAGTGCCTGAGAAGCTGCCAAGCAACAATGAGAGAACCACCTTCAAGCGCTCAATGGTGCATTATGAGCCTCCATATTAGTTTTTGTTTCATTTGAGTAATTGGAAAATGTGAATTGTTTCATTGCAAACGCATTTGCTTTTGGTGATAAAATGTCAATGGCTTAAAGATACAGTTCAAATACACAGTTCCAAACTTCATGTGTGTAAAAATATACATACGTAGGTAAATTATTAATTTGGACAATTTTAACATGAATTTTGATCAGCAATAACTAGGTACATTCATACTTTTTATTTCTGAAAAGTTCTCATTTTAGTTCCCGATAACAAATTATTTGAGCTTGAAACAAATTTACTGCGTTTCCTACCAATTCCTTGATACATGTTTTTGACAATATTTTTCTTGAATTCTAAATAATATATTCATCACTCTGATAAAAAACAAACTTGCTATAGAAAAAATTTAATTTTTAATGTTAAAAATTTAAAATTTTGATGCCTCAATTATTACTCATAATCGTGCAGGAATGGAATGATGCAACTTTTATGATGTTCTTTATTGTTATTTTTATATGGTTATTTCTTCTCTGAGCATAAAGTATACTAAAATTATAATGTACCACTATCCTTACTTATTTGATAAATATATTAGGTTGATGCTGGTACAGCTACTTTATTTAAGCAATTCAGGTTTTGTAATTGGTTATCAAACTTGTCTCAATTGTGATCACACGGCAGGGGTTGGAGCGCAAGCTGTCAGCGGCAGACAAGGCTCCGTCAGGATACCAGCCGTTCAGCACCAGCCATCCTGAGGAGGAAGTGCACGAGTCACGCCTTAAAGTCAAGGTTAGAAGGAATATGTTTGCTGCCTAGTCTTTTAATATGAGCTAGATTGTTTCAGTTATATGTTAGTTATTTGTATTGTTAGTTATATGTTCATTGAATAAAATCATGATTAATATAAATACTGCAAACAATCTCGCTCAAGCACAGCTTCTAATGTGGAAGTTCTTTGTCATTTTGGAGCTCATGTTTTGGTAGAATAACTATGTACTTTTTTACAAAAATTGTATTAATTGGTATTCACATTTATATCACTTTGAGAACTTATAAGAGTTACGCCAAGGTTAAAATCAGGCTTATGTTTTTCACTGCTCTAACAGATTCTTGAACTACAATCATATATAAAATTTTACATATCATTAACAACCATCTTCAGTATTTTCTCTGCAGTCATTACTTTGTCCATTCATTTTAATGATGCTAAATTCATGGTTGTGAGTAAAATTTACTTGGAATCTCTTGAGTATTTTTCTTTGTACAGCGATAATATTTTTTAGAGAACTTTTTTTTACTTTTTTTTTGTTACTGTGCATCACATTTATTGAGCACTTTGAAGAAATATGATACGTGTTTCACATTGACCTTTAATTATGTTATATATTCTTAATAAACGATTGGTTTAGCTTTCTTACTTGAAAACTTCTTTGTTTCAGCATCTGTACGATAGTTTCGTGAGCGATCGAGAGCGGGTGGGGGAGAAGGCTGAGGGGCGTGCTGCTGCTGCTGGGGGATTAGAAGGGGAAGACCCTCTGAGTCCCCTCACTCCCCCACGTGCAGGGACCGCCCCTGGGGGAGCCCTGCGCCCTCCCCTATCAGGGGACGCTGGTGTGGCCCCACGCTCCGGCCACACTATATATATTTTCGGCTATAACATCTCTGAAGAAGTTATCAAGAAAAACTTCAGTAGCTTCGGTAGCATCATTAACATCAGCATGGAGGTGGACAACAAGTGAGGCTCTTTGTAATCTTGTTAATTAAAAAGTTTTGATGCTCTTAACTCACTCATTTTCATAAATATCTGGAAATTTATAATAATTTGTTTATTTTTCAGTTGCGGGTTTGTGACTTTCGAGAAAGTGGAATCTGCTGAGAAAGCTATAGCAGAGGTAAGTGGCAGGCATTGTTATTTGTATGACTATATATGATCCGTAGCGAGTGTTCGTAATTAACTTAAATTTAAGTGTAATGTTGCGACCAAGCTGCCACTGTTTTTGCGTCGATAATAATAATTAGCGAGTTACAATAGTTAGTATGCCAAGAATCAACTTGCTTCACTCATTTTGAGCTGTTGGGGTGAGGTTGCCAGGAATATATGCTGCCTGTGTCATAATCCTGGTGCTCGTATCTATCATAACGAATTATTAGGTGTAATTATCATATGTGTAATTACAATTAATGCGCGTCTAATTAGTCAGAAAATTGGTGTGTGTTGGAACGCCTTGCTTCCTGCCGACCATGTCTCATTGTTGGAGCCAAATATCTTATCAACCCATTTCTTAACTCAAGTTAATTCCTTCACTGTTGGAAGATAACTCACAAAAGTTTGAACGAAAGAGCCTTCAAAAGTGATTCATATAATTATAAAATAATGAATACGGCAGCTCCGACATTTGTTAGCAATATGGCTTCTGAAATTCTTTTTGCGATTTGATTGTCAATTTGCACATTTGCGTAAATCCCGGGAAGTGTATGAGTGTAGGGCGCAGTAAGCGATGTGTCTGTGCCACTTTACACATCCATATGAATGATGTGTACATAACTACAAATAGTTCACGAGATGTACATCATTGCGAATGATATGTACATCGCACACAGCGCGAACGCTTCGCACGGTTTTACACCAAAATTGCATGGCTGTACTTCAAATGTACATGGCTGTACATTAAAGTTACATGGCTGTACATTAAAAGTACATTGCTCTACATTAAAGGTACATAGCTGTACACTAAAGGTACGCGTCTGTACATTAAAAGTACAAGGCTGGACATTAAAGGTACATGGCTGTACATTGAAGGTACATGGCTGTACATTGAAGGTAAAAGGCTGTTCATTAAAGGTACATGGCTGTACATTAAAGGTACATTGCTGTACATTAAAGGTACATGGCTGTACATTAAAGGTACATTGCTGTACATTAAAGGTACATGGCTGTACATTAAAGGTACATGGCTGCACATTAAAGGTACATTTCCGTACATTAATTCCATTACTATACAGATGAACGGCACGATGGTGTCGGGGGTGCAGCTGAAGGTGTCACTAGCGCGGCGCCAGCCTCCCGTGGAGCCCATCAACGACGCGTCGTCCTCAGCCACGTGGTCCACCATCGGTACGTGGCACGCACTGCTGTCATCCTGCCTTATTATAATTATGTCTGATAAGAGAACAGTGTAATGTATCGTTCGATAAATAAACATTTAATTACAGAAATTATTAGTGTTTTCCAAAAATTAAGGCGTTAAAGAATATTTAGCAAAAGAAGTGTGAAAGAACTTTCATTGTTCACCGAATACACTGAAAGCGAAACGTTTGCTGTTAATAACAGTGCGGAACATTTGACATTATGTCAATGCAGATTTCAACATTTTAGAGTTTATTCGAGTTGTTATTTTAATGTTAGGGGAACAAACGGCAGTAGATTTGTTTGTCCGAGTAAGAGCTATTTATTTATTTGAAATTTATCTATTAGGTATAACTTTTCTAATGTACTACTTTTCGGCACATTGTATTATATTACAGTATAAATTTTCTGCTATAAACGGATAGCCCAGGGTCTACTCTATTCCTATAAGAATTCAGCAGTTTTTATTTTGATACTTTCGATCACCTTCTTAGGTTATACCTAACTTTGTTAGTTTGGTCATTTGCAGACATTTCCATCTTGACTATGAAAGGCCGCTATACTGCGACCAAAAATTATTTTTAAATATTGTTTTTAAATCTGAAACACAAATATGTTTATTATTGCAATTAATTAATTTATAAGTTTATTAATAAAACAATACTCACAAGTGATAATTCATGTTCTTAATATAATAAATGTTATAAAGTAGTGTAACTAACAAGCTTTTTGTGACAGCGGCGAGCCACTCACAGAAAGGTTCCCACAACGACAAGCGCGACCTCGTCAGGTACGACGAGGACTTCTTCTAGCCTTCGTCACCACGTCACGGGGACTTCTTCCCCCGCCCCGCCATCGTCACCACGTCACGGGGACTTCCTATAGCCCCGCCCCGCCATCGTCACCACGTCACGGGGACTTCTTATAGCCCCGCCCCACCATCGTCACCACGTCACGGGGACTTCTTCCCCCGCCCCGCCATCGTCACCACGTCACGGAGACTTCTTATAGCCCCGCCCCGCCATCGTCACGGCATTATTTCGCCCGCCGTTGCTCCAATGTTTAGTTTTTTAAAACTTATTACCCATTTCCAATCGCCATCTCCAGTCCCTTTTTATTTTCCGCTTTACTTCTCATTTCGAAGCTCATTTTTCATCAGTACAGGGCTATTTTTTTACAACTGTCTCGTATTTTCTTGCTGTTACGTCATCTTCCGTCATTCATTCATACATCATTCACTCGTGCACCATTCAGTTGTATGAATGTGGCAATGTATAAAGATATAAAGATGGTCGTCTTGCGTCTGAGGGCAGTAAAATATATCGTCGAATATGTGAATTTATGCCCTTGCAAATAAAATGCTTTGTAAAAATTTGCCTGCGTCGGATTGCGAGCGAGAATATTAATCATTTAACGGCCTAACTGATCTTAGCGTATAATATGTGTTTAATATCGTCCAATAAACTTATTCTATTCTGCTGTAATTTTTTTTACCTAACGATCTGCTGCTCGAATTTTAAGGCAGCAGAGTTTAATCTTGGCTCATTAAATTTGGCTAAGTGTGTATGAAAGTCTTGTCAGGTATTGTTCATCAATGTATCTGTTCCATAGCAGCCTTATTATTTTTTCCTACATGTCAAAATTAAGTTGTTAAATGAGGATGCACCAGCAAAATTTTCGTTTGAGGATCTTCTATGCGATATTGTGATGACGCACGTGATATTTTAGTGAATGGCCGGCATGGTAGAAGTTTCGAGATCAACTGAGGCCGATTGTTTATAGTTGTTAACTGTAGAGTCGCGCTTAACTGTAGATTTATTTTCGCACATTATCTGATGAATTGAACGAGTTCACGTTCTGTTCCAGTCAATATGGAGGTGCCAGAATACTTTATTTCCGATTTAATAATACTTCCCTGGAAGTCAATTTCTCATTTATTCTGGATCATAAAGCTGTAGAGCTTCTCAACTAACATTTTATTTTATTTTAGTTTTGGCATGCACAATTTTAAAAGTTTGATGAATAATTTAAGTTTGCACCATGTTTTGTCATCGTTCCTCTGGCACCCTTACAGACTAGGAATTTCCCACATTAATATTAACTATAACCCAAAATGACGACAAAATTTGAAATTTTCGATGTTGTGAGCATTAAAAATTTATTTTCCTTGAAAAGGAACCCATTTTTATGTGAATTTTTAACAGTTTGTTATTATTATGAGATAAAATCTTGACCGTTTTTATGAAAATATCACTAAAAAACTATCAAAGTTACATATTATAAGTTGGTGATAATTCACCAATTTATTGCTCAGTTAATTAAATTGATGAATCAAGTCTCTTGATTGAGTTTAACAGGAATTCATATTGCCGTGTGTTTTTCTATAAAGGTTGGCAGCCCTGGCATCAGCTGAAATATACCCAGCTGAGCTCAACAAAGACCAGTCGCATCGAAAGCGAGAGTAGTGGATGGTTGTACCTTTCTCGAGTCGTGCCGGCAATCAAGCTTTAACCGGTAATTGTATTATTGTTTGATGATGTCGAGACAACTGGCTCAGTGTTAATTTACAAGTGTTTGAAGTCCCTGCACATTTTGACGTATCTCTGATTTAATAATAATTAAACTCAAAATGAAAACTCTTCCTTGTGTTGACTTTGAGAAACAGCTGAGATACGGCAGAGAATTTTCGTCGTTTTTGCTTTAATTGCTATTTTATTAATACTCTAGGAACTTGGCAGACTCAATTGTACTTTATTGTTTTCTGCAATTGAAAAAATTGAAGTGTTTTGAACGTAGCGTGGCTTTAGAAGGCCATTAATCAGAGAACGTTCACTGGGTCTCTTTGTCTGTGCCTGAACTCCGAGCTAGTTTCGGTGCTTGCGCTGTGTATCTGTCGTGATGTGTACGGCGTTAGTAAAGCTGTGCTGTTATTAGCATCGATTGTCTATCCTGAGTGTCGAGTGCGTATAAAAATCTATTCTAATTCCAAGAATAAATTTGCATCGCTTAAATATAATCTCACAGGGGAAAAGATATCAACCTTTCACAAAAAAGCCATAACCATTCAGTTCTGTCTCTTTGTTGTCATGACTTTTTGACTTCAACTTCGGAGTTTTCTTTTGTTAGTAAGGATATCAATTCGCTCGTGCTGACTAACGTGATAAATAAGAAGGGTACATTTTTGATATTGTGTTACTTTGTATCTTCGGCGGGAGAAATATTAATACAATTGTACTATTTAGATAATACATTGATGTTGTTTATTCATATTTGCCGTGATGAATTATATTAAATTGTTCTTATTTCCAGATGCACATTTTTTGAATTAAAATTATTTCAGCCTGGAGTTAGTATAGTTGTTCCGTTAGCTTGTTGGCAGCTATTACACTTGATAGCTCAAAGTATTATAACTACTAAAGTTTCAATTAGATTTTCCGACCGAGTATGCGCTAAATTTTTGAACTTCTTAGCGATACTCTGCTCACTCACCCGATCTTCTTAGCACTTAAATAAATTCATTACTCACTTTGAACGATAAACAGGTGGTAGGATTTTATAAAGTGCCAAGGAACAAGAGTAACTTTGTTTGTCAGCTCGTCGTGTTCAGACCACGGCCATCTTCGCTACCGTCACGTCGACGCGTCTCCTGTGAGCATGGGCCACTGCACCAGTGATGCTGAGGTAAGTCACTGCACCACTGCATGTCGTTTATTAATAGTAAAAACTTTTGCTGCATTGCGCCATCATTGGTGCAGACAGTAGTCATCAGCATTATCACTCCTGGTCACACTGATGCGCAAATGACATCAGTGCAGCAGCACAAACCATCTAATGAACATCACAGGCTATATAATATCAAGTAAGGTTTTCCACATCAGCTCCCGCGTTGTCCATTAGGCATGGATAATTAGGAGGCAAATACCGCGCCCCGGCGTCTCTGATAGAGGCGCGTGTGCAGCGCGATGGCTGCTAATTCAGAAAATACTTACTTCTTTGGAGAAATTTCAACATTTGGAAGATATATCTCTGTTTTCAATGCATAAATGTTAAGAATAATGCTTACACACTGAAACAATTAAAAATTTATAAAATTAATTCAGATAGAACTTTAGCATTCTAGGAGTCAAATTCATTTTAATTTCTGCAATAAACCTCAGAATGAAATTGATTGCACTACTTTAGAGTATTGGTTGAGTTGAATTCTCCGAAGACCGGTGAGCTGGGCTCATGGCTGTGCCTGTGGCTTCAACTTAAGTGATATTGTGGCTGCTTCTCAGAAGTTAGGACAGTCGTCTCCTGAACCAACTTTCTAACTCAATTCAGCGTCCGGTATTGAGAGTTTGAGTTGATACTAGAACAGTGAGGGATTAACCAACGTGGGCATCACGATCTCTTGTGTATACTTCGCTTTGTTCTGTGATGCAATATTAGTCTGGTTGTCACTTATACATTACCAAAATTAATTTGAATTATCAAACACCAACATTCGGTCATTCGCCGGCCCACGATAAATCTAAGTAGATCAATTCATCATCAGGTTAGGAAGAGTTGAGCGCCAGCGTGGCCAGCTCATTCGTAAGGACTTGCTGTGTCGATTTTCATGTTGCTGTAAGTTTAATATGCGTGAATTTTTTATTAACTTCACTTTCATCGAATTCATTTATTGTTCCTTTTATTTTTACTGTTATAATCAGAGCCTTGACTCAACCTTCAAGCAAATGTTTATTCGCTGCAAACGCCAGAAGCCTGCGTGCTGCAGGAGAACAGAAGCGCCTTCATCTCGGCTCAGTTCTGCCTAGCGCGGTGTACTCTTTTATTTATTTATATATTATTGTTTATATATAAACAGTTAGTCTAGTGACGTTTGTGTCTTTAATGCGTTATTTAGTCGGCTACTGAGTTCACTGGACGGTTATTCTAGTGACGTTTGTGCCGCTAATGAGTTATTTTGCCGGCTACTGGTACTGAGTTTACTGAACAGTTTTTCTAGTGACGTTTGTGCCGTTAATGAGTTATTATGGCGGTTACTGATTTACTGGACAGTTATTCTAGTGACGTTTGTGCCGCTAATGAGTTATTTTGCCGGCTACTGAGTTCACTGGACGGTTATTCTAGTGACGTTTGTGTCGCTAATGAGTTATTTTGCCGGCTACTGAGTTCACTGGACGGTTATTCTAGTGACGTTTGTGTCGCTAATGAGTTATTTTGCCGGCTACTGAGTTTACTGGACAGTTAATCTAGTGACGTTTGTGCAGCTAATGAGTTATTTTGCCGCCTACTGGTACTGAGTTTACTGAACAGTTTTTCTAGTGACGTTTGTGCCGTTAATGAGTTATTATGGCGGTTACTGAGTTTACTGTCAGACAGTTATTCTAGTGACGTTTGTGCGGCTAATGCGTTATTCAGTGTAGGTGAAGCTGCCCGCATCCTAGTGCCTGCCCATGCCATCTCATTCTCTCAGCATTGATATTTAACACTGCCCACTCTGCATGAACTCCTTAAGATGGCCATAACTCAATCATATTCTCATGTCATGAACAATGCAGTATCCTAAATTCAAACGATAGATTTTAGCAAACAATTAATATTCAGATCCCCAATACAGAGTGGATGCCTTTGGTCATTTTAAACTTGTGTTCCGCAAGACTCTTGAGCGAGTCTTACTCTCAAGGGCATGTAAATTACTCTCAAGGGCATGTAATAACTCTCAAGGGCATGTAAATTAACTCTCAAGGGCACATTGAGGGTTAACGACCCAAGCCATCATGTGTTGGTGTAGGTCAAGTCTATTGACAATAACTGGCCCAGCGATATACGCATCGTTGGACGACCGTATAGCTATATAGCCCCTCGATCGTAGTTTACCGCTCTCTCACCCCGCCATTGTTTGACGATTCCTGGTCAAAATAATCCACTATCATTCTTGAAGAGAATAATATTTATTTGCTTCATGGAATTTAAGTTTGATTTTACAGGCGATTTCTGATTCTGTGATTGTTTAGACATTTTAATGCAATTAATATTGACAGATTGTCGTTCTTGATTTCGGTTCCGCCACCGAAGTAAGGGTTTCAATAAAGATTTCTTTTTTGACGAAAAATTCGAACTTGCCTTGTATCTACAAAAATTAATAATTTGCAAACATTGGAGGGATTGGAACACGTGTAGTTGTGCTTAGCTTGGCCGCTGCTCCAGCAGTTGACGTCTTGCACTTGTTATGCTTTTGATTGGCACGCCTCCTGCTGAGCCAGCAATCAATCCCAATCATGCCACATGTGAGGCTAGTCGTCAATCAGGTCATGGACATGGACGACCAAGTCCCTAGTTCTTATTATGTTGATTATCATTAGAGTGGCTAGCGTTCATTTTCATTTGTTAATTGTTATCCTTGCTATACGTCAAGGCAGGAGGAGAAAGGTTTCAGATCAATGTTGATTTATGACCAGAGGCCACACTTTCAAAACTATGTCCTCATAACGGCCTAAGTACAATTTGCGGCCACTTTCTTGTCTCTTGTTGGTGGGTTCAGTTTGAAAAGCTGTTCATGATTGGCTGACGTACTTACAAAGGTATAAATATTTTTAATAGTAGTACAACACAAAACATATACATGAAAATATGAATTACTGTCTCGACTAACTAACCCCAGCACGATATCAACCTTTGACTACCATATGCCTTGGCAATAGATCGTACGAATTTTTTTTAATCAATGCATCAACAGGCCTTTTACTATCGCATCACTATAATGTATGTGCTGAAATTTTTTGAACTTCTTAAGTTTCAAATTGTGGTAATATTGTTAAATTCTTCGCTTGTTAGTAAACTTCCTCGCGAATGAAAACTGTCCCCGAAAAGCCAATTAAAATTTAAAGTTTAAGTTCAGACAGAAGCTACGAATTTATAAGCCCATAAATTTACGCTCAATTGCATATTATTGGCCGGACATCATGCAGATAATTACTGGTTTTTGCCGCTCGGCATCATGAACTGAGCCCTCGCAAGCTGACTTCTAAAGTCGCTGCGCTGTCGCACAATTCCTGAGAATAAGTTGACTGTCTGTGACATTTGCGTATAAAACAATTATCACAAAGATTTTAATGTGTTATATAAGGGTCATGACACATTGTTATTAACGTATTATCACATTTTTAATAAGAGTAAGAAGGTAATCTTCATCGTTGAGTTGGTTAATCCTTGCGTAACAATTCAATATATCTTGACCGATAAACCTAGCCGCACTCGTGATTTTTGATTATATAATCAGTTTTTTTTCATCGAATTCTTGTCACGAACATGTCACGAAAACATTTGGTGTGTGTGGTTACGACGCCATGCATACGCAGGATACGTTATAGAACCCGTCTCATGATACGCTCACTGGCGTATATAACACGTATACGTGCCCGTGTAATACGTACGTGTGAGGCTGGCAGTTACACGTACACGCACTGCGTGTCACTGATAAGTCCTAACTGTTTTTTCATTAATCCTCGTCCTGATGGTTGGTGACACTGCGTGTGCGTAGAAACTTCCTGGTCGTCTGTTCATGAGGTGCACACATCATGTGCGTGTTGTGTGCGTGTGCCGTGCAGCCTCACATGAGATCGTGCGTTGCGCTGTGCATGATTTACCGGCGCTGTGCTTGCTTTGCCAGAATTGTGCTTGCTGTACCCAAGTCTTCCTCATGTTTATTTGTACGCTTTGTGCTAGTGCTGCTCATTTTAAGAGTACAACTTGGTTATTTTCTGCTAGTGCTGCTCATTTCAAGTGTACAGCTCATGCAAGTACACACGTGTCCTGCTTTAACTGAACGCTTAATTTTTTGATGACCGATATTATAAGAAATGGTTCTCAATATCAACTTTTATCCTAATTCACAATCTCATTTAATTTATTTCACACGACGTATCTCTTTCTCATTTTTATCTAGAGTTTCGCCTTTATTATTAAGATTTATTTTTAAATGTTACTTACGTAAAACATTTATTCTAAGTATTTTGTTCTTTTTTATCCATGTTCTCCGTAGAGCTTATAATGCTCTCTTGTTAGTTGGTCGCCCGCACGTGGCCGACTCTTGCAGACCAATGCGCCTCACCTCTTGTTTGTGCTACTGTGTTGTGTGTGTTGTGTGTATTGAGTGTGTTGTGTGTATTGAGTGTGTTGTGTGTATTGAGTGTGTTGTGTGTGCTGTGTGTGTGTGTGTGTGTGAACTGTGATGTATATGTGCTGCACCGCTCACGCGCTGCACCGCTCACGTGCTGCACCGCTCACGTGCTGCACCGCTCACGTGCTGCACCGCTCACGTGCTGCACCGCTCACGTGCTGCACC